TGAATTAGTAGAATTAGATTCTGTTGCAACAAAGATTACTGGAAATGTTGAATTAAAAATTAAACAAAATAATCAACTTTTTGTTGAATTTGTAAGTAATCTTGGAACCTTAGTTGACGGTGAAACGTTTGTTGGTTATAAAGGGAAATATGATAAAGAATCTATGTTTGTATGTAACTCAAATTCTGAAATGGATGTAATTTATAACATTCCATCAATATACGCTACTCCTAATGAAGCTAAAGGTAAAGAAGAAATTGTAATTGAATGGAAAGAAGGAAATGAAATACAAGAATATTCAACATTAAAATGTGATGATAAATTATATATTATCATCGAACATGATAATTCAGATATTTTTAGAGTTTTATCAAATAAATGTATTGGACCAATGCTAAATGTTCAATATATTAGTTTAGGTTCTTTAGGGTTATTTATCAAATTAACTTGTGAAGCATATTTAAGACAAAATAATGCTAATATATCTCAAATTAATCGAAGAGCAGCATTAGAAGTTATTAAGTCTTATTCTGATGACTTAAATCCACATGCAGAAATTCATATGTTATTCAATGAATCTTTTAGAAAATCTTTTAATACTTCAGAACTTAATTTTACTCTTGATGATATTGACCTTCCACTACTCTCTCCTACCACACCAACAAAACCAAGGGCTTTAGATATTAGACCAAAATCACAAGATAATTTTGATGATTCTATAACTTCACCAACAAAAACAAACCAAGTAAAATCAAATTCATTGTTTAACAAAGCTACTACTTCTCAGAAATCTCAACAAGATAATTCAAGTATGTCAAAATCATCATTTGCTTTCAAAAAGATTATTCAACAACAAGAAAAACAACAACAACAAATTCGTCAATTAGAACTATTACAAAATCGTTCTTCTTCGTCAGAGGATATTTCTCCTTCTGTAACTAAGTCAGAACCACAACTTATTCCAAAAACAACTCCAACACCTCCTCAAAATAAATTACCATCTCCACAACCAAATACAACCTCTATTTCTGGTTCTCAAACACCTAAACAACATGTGAATATGTTCCAATCAGCTCCAATTGTATCTTCATTCCAAAAAAGACCACCCCAACGAGGTGGTTTCTTTACACAACGTGAAATAAACCAACAGGCAAAAGCCTCAACTAAAAGTGCACCAAATTATCCTCAAGTTTCAGTCCCATTAGCAACACAAACCCATGGACAATACTCATATCAAAAAAAACAAGAAACTCCTCAACAAAAACATAATACCGTTGGTTGGCAAATGGGTGGTACAAATGAAAAAACTCGTACAGCCCATCTCACAGCAAATTCTCGTGGATTTGTTATGGGAGATAGAAGAAGTCGTGACATTACCCCAACACAACAAGAACAACATGAAACAAATTGAAACAACTTTTTTTAATTACAATTTTGGAATCAATCTATGATAATTCTTTTTGAATCTAATTCATTAATTCCTTCATTTCTTTTTAATTGGTTTCTTTCTACTAAGTCTTCTTCGTTTAAACAATATCTTGCTTTACTTACTTTCAACTGACAAGTTAAACAATCATGAACCCATTCGATTCCTACTACATCAATTTTTTTTTCATTACAAATTTTCATTTGTTTAAGTATGTCTTTTAAATCTATTAAACTATTACCAACGACGCACACTGTGACTGAAGAAGTTAATTTCTTTTTAAATGTGGCTCCATGAAACTCACATTGTTTAATTGTATCTTCATTAAGACTCCCAAAAATTTTTATGATTTCTCCAGTAAAGAATTTAGATTCTTTTTTCATACAAAATATAGTTTCATTTAGAGAAGGTTGAGAAAGGTATGACATGATTGACATCAATTGAAGTAATTCATTCTTTTCAGTACTATTTAAGCCTTGTTGCATTTCTTGTGATTTGATACTATTTAGAATATTTTCAGTTTGGTTTTCTTGGATGTAATGGAAATTTTGTTTTTCCTCTTTTGTTGGATTAATTCCTACAACAACTTCTTTGTGAGTATCCTCTGACTGTTTTTTAACATTAAACACTTCATCAAAGATACTTTTTTCAGAACTTTGTATTGTTTGTGTTGGTTCAGGTAGTGTTAATGCAAATGGTATTTCATCTAAAAATTGATCAAATTCCATTGGAATTATTTGAGTTTCTGAGACAGGTTTAGTTTCAATACTTTTCCTTCTTAGAAAAGCAAGTGGTTGTTTAGGAAGTTCAAATTTAATTTCAGACTTAGTTAAATCAATGGCATCATTACGAATACTAGTAGAGGCTTTTCTTTTTTTTAATTCATTACTTGATTTTCTTCTTAAGAGAATTTCATTAAACCTAGCTTCTTCACTTTTTCTTTTCTCTTCATCTTCAGATTTTCTTTGATATTCTTGTTGGATACGTTCTTCATAATGATTATCAATAAATCGTCGAATTATTCTATTTCTATTATTAACATCTAATCTACATTCAAGCATTTCATTAAAATCAATATACCTCTCTTTGTCTAAAACAAAGACCCCTTTATTATTAATTAAGTAATGATGTTCAATATCTTCATTTAATTTACTATTATAATCAACATAAATTTTACCATTAAATGATTGCCATCGAATTTTACTTGTTGATTCTGTTGGTACTGTACATTGAACTTCGACCTTTCTTGTTGTTAAATGAATAGAAACTGACATTCTATTTATTAAAAGATCATTTTTTATCAACAAATTTGAGGGATATTTTTAAAAATAGATAGATTCTCAAATTTCAATTAATGTACATTGGTCTGATAAATCAAATAAAGAACTAATGTTGATACCATCTATATGAGGTGGTTTTGCTTTCTTTTTAAAATAGTAATTTCTTCGATAAGGAGTTAGAACTAAAATTTTTAAAGGTGAGTCAAAGTAATCATTACACCCTTTCACAAAGAGAAAGTTAATCACGAAATATTCTATCTCTTGAACCAATCTTTTCATTTCAAAATTTAATGAGTTTAGACTTTTTCTTAATCCACATTCTCCAAGAAAAATTAACATAAAGGATTCCTTTTGATTATCATCTTTTTTATATGTTAGATAATCATTTAGTTTTAACAAATCAAAAACTTCTCCTCGTTTCTTTAAGATACATCCTCGTAGTTTATTAAGAAAATTTAAGTCACATAACTCAAATGATGAAATTATTTTTAATGTAATCCTTTCTTTTAAATAACCAATTCCATAAAATTCTAGTATTTGTCTTTTACGTACAACTTCGTTCCATTTATATAGAGTGCTTATTGGTAATAATTCATTTACAATGCATTCTTGCATGAGTTTCTCAAAATGAGACACTTGTATTTTCATTTTAAGAGCAGCCTTATAATGTGGAGTCAAATAGTTAGTCATTACTAATTATCAATTTTAGTCAACGAATTTATTTCATTGAAAAGCCATATAAAAAAATAAATCATTTTTGAGTCTTAGTTAAATAACAAATTTAAATTATATTATTGTTATTGTGGCATTAATTTCTTTATTGCATTAACTAATTTACTCTTGTTATATTGTGCCCGTTCATATAATTCTTCGTATTGTTCAATAAAAGTACTTATCACATCATCCTTGTTAGATTCTCCAGAACATATTTTTGTTAACTCTTTTTCAGTTTCTGCTCGAAGTTGTGGTCTAGAAAATTCAAAACCCATAGAGTCATATCCTTCAACTAATGCAAGTCCAAGGTTTGTAGGAATAAATGACCCTTGTTTAACAATAACATATTCTCTTTCTTGAATTTTTTGAATATGTTGTGCAATAGTTGCATCAGTACCAATTCCATTTTTGTCCATAAGTTGAATTAACTCGGGTTCTGTTAATGGTTTTGGTGGGGATGTTTCTCCATAACTTACCTCAAAACAATTTAGTTGGACTTTTTCTCCTTCATGAAATTCAGGAATTTCTTTGTCTGACCATTTTCTAAAAGGGAAAATATTTAAGTAATTACGTTCTGTAATCATTAATCCATTACAATGAAAACTTTCATTACCAACTTGTAATCCAATTTTTGTTTCAAATCCCCTTGCATCATCTGACATATTTGCTAAATAATTTCTTACAATAAAATCATAAATTTTTCTTTCTTTTTCTGATAAATCATTTAAATTTGCATTTCTTGTTGGGTGAATAGGAGGATGTGATTTATCAGTTGCTTTTCCATTTCTTGGATTTTTTATTTTACCATTTAGTAATTCTTGGACGTATGATGAATATATACGATTCTCTTGAAACATTTTAATCTGTTTTTCATGATCCATATCAGAAGGAAATATATTTGTTTCTGTTCTTGGGTAACTAATCAACCCAGAATTATATAACTTCTCTGCTATAGTCATTGTTTCGTTTGAACTAATCTTAAAATACTTAGAACATGCCTTTTGAAGATCAACTGTTGTTAATGGTAATGGCTTAAAATTGGTTCGACTTTTTTCTAATATTTCAGTAATAGTTGCAGAGTTTATATGTTCTAACGCATCTTCATATAATAAGTCACATATTAACCGATCAAATAACCTATTTCTATCCCAATGAAATTCTGTTAATATTGAATTTTTTTCTACAACACAATTAATCTTATAGAATGTTTCTTTTGTAAATGCTTTAATTTGGTAATACCTATCTACAACAAATCCTAAAGTAGGAAATTGACATGCTCCATAACTTAATACTTTCCCTTCTAATGCCTTTGATTTATTTTTTAATAATGTTGTTTGAAATCTTGTAAAAGCAGCCCCTGTTCTTAAATCAATTTCTTGTCTTACATCAACAGCTTCACTCATATGTCTATTAGGAGCAGTCAATGTGTTGTACGCTTTAATAATTTCATCAGGAACCAAACTATTAAAATGAGCTCTCCATACTTTCATCTTTGAATTAACTTCAGAACAGACTTCAATAACTTCGAAAGAAATATTTTCTCCTTCTCTATCACAATCAAGCCATAACACTAATACCTGACACTTTTTTGCTACATTTTTTAAGTTTAATTCGACTTTTTTCATACTTGCTGGAACACTCTTCTCTATTGGAGCTGTGAAAAGTTCTTCAGGGTCACAACTACCCCATGAACGATAAGCTGTAGTAAAGTCAATTCCCTTTAAATGCCCCGCAACAGAAGTAACGTAATGAGTACACTTCCCAATATTTTTAAATTCTTTTTCAAATTCAAATATAGAGTTATATTTAGATAATCCTGAGGTTTTTTGGCATTGCCCACGAGAGAGTGTGTATGAGATGGCATTTGCTACACTTGGTTTTTCTGCTACATGCAATACTGAATTCATACCAAAATTAAATAAAAAATTGAGTTTTTATTTAATGATTAAGTATTAATACTTATTATTATATTTTTTGGTTTATTAGATTTTCACTTTTTCATATATTTGATGTATAATCCTAGAAAATAAAAGAATCAAAAATAATGAAAAACAATCATTTTATTTCTAATACATCAACTCCATCAAGACACTCTACAAAGAAATAAAGCTTTGAATAGTTTTCAACAAAAAGAACTGAAAGTACTTTTGAAGTATTTTTTGAAGAATTTAATGAACGACCACCATAACAAGAACCTAATAATTCCAATTTTTCAACTTCATACAACATCAACTCTCCTCGATCACTTCCTAATGCTAAAACATTCATAATTGATCCATCAATAAAATGAGTAATTGTCACAGCAGTAATAGTAGTATTTATTAAGGTTTCAGCAAATTTATATGCGTTAATAGAATATCCAGTAATAATTGTTCTACTTTGTTGAATTGATAAAGTAATTAAATCACCATTTTTGTCACTAAATAACATTTTGTTTATAACTTCATTAGTTTTTATAACTTGTCTAATTTTACCATCTTCATTAAAATATCGAATATATCCATCGTTTGACGCAATAACTGCTGTATGGTAATCAACACAATATGTTATTGCAGTTACTTTATCTGTAATACCATATAGTGAAATAAATGATGGATTTTTTCCAAATGGCTGAATAATAATAAATGATTCTCCAGTCTCACATCCATAAACCAATTTATTTCCATTATCAAAGATATTGAAGTCAGTAACATCTAATGATTTACAATATAAACTATTAATAATTTGGTCATTCTTACTTAATACAAATGTACCTTTATTTTGTTCATATCTTACACAATAAATTTCTTTATCTAATAAGAAAGTACAACATTGATCAGTAAATACTGAAAATTTATTATTTTCAAATGCAAATGAACATCCAGTTTTTAATGTAGTAATTAATTCTGTATGAGGATTATGAAAGTTAAAAGCTAATCTTGGAGTAACTAATTTCTTTGGGTGTGGTTTAATAAATACTTTATTTGGTATATTACCCATTGTTTTCCATATAACTTCTTTAATTTGTTCATCCATTTCAGATTCTTTTGTATATTCCTTACTATAAACATTAAATTTATTCCTACTTTGTTGATCAACTCCAAAAACTAAATCAATCCATTGGTTAATAGTTTGTCCAACTTCTTGACTTTCTAATGCCTCTCTCATATGATGAATAAATAACCTACTTGTTTCTCCCCAAGGAGGAAAGTTAACATCTCCAACAGTTGTACTTTCTCCTTTGAGATGATTTAAATTCATAAATACTTCAGGGCAACAATAGAACTCGGGTAATAATTCAATTCTTGATTGTAACACAGAGCTTAAAAACAAAGAACCTACATTAACAAACATTCTTCCATCTATTTCTAAACATCTTCCTGACATTTCTTTTAAAATCATATCAGTATATGGCCTTAACCTAAATAAACATCTTAAAACTGTTGATGGACTACTCAAACAACAATTGTAATGACACTCTTTTTCATAATAATTATCTTCTATTTGATTAGTACCTTTTTGTGCTCCAATAGGTAGTTGAAGATTTCTATACATCTGAATATCACTTAATCTAAAATCTTTGCTGTCATAACTACAAATAACCCATGGATATATTGGATATTGACTTAATGTTCTGTAACTTCTTCCTGCTTCGTTGTTAATTATTCCAAGATATTCAAAATTACTAATTAATCCTTTGCTCCACATCTTTGTTGACTCTAACAATTTACTTTCTGAACATCCAGTAACTTCTATAATTTTACTGCGTTGTTTATTTGTAAAAATAAAGAATTCAATTCTTCCATCAGCGGTTATTATTTCTAATCCATTATCTTGATATAAATACATTTTTTTTGTGATGATTGCATTTTTTAAAGGTAAAATAATTTCTTTACTAACATTTTCATTATGAAGAACTTTTGAGTATTGGAAAATTAATTCTTTTTCATCTGCCTCTTCCTTAATTTGCATCATCCCTTCACATTCCTCTTCTTCTTTAATCCTTTTGCATTTTATTCCACCTGTCAATGCAATAGGAGGAATATATGGAACAAGTTCTTTGATTTGAAGATAGTCTTTTAATTCTTCTATAATTTCTGGAGTAATTTCTTCTGTTGTTGGAAGGTCTCTCATTTTTGGTGAAGAATAATCTACTAAATTATGTACAAAATTTGGAGTTATATAAGGTGTTAATTTTATAGCACTTATTGGGGGCGGGAATTGGTAGGCTAATATTCCTTTTGGAGATGTGTATTTTTTAAATATTTTTAGCCAATGTAAACAAGCAACCCTTGATGGGCTGGTTGGCTTTGCTTTGAATGAACGAGGTGGAGGTCTAATAAAATCAAGATCATTAGGAATGGTTGTAGGTTGTATTTGTACAAGGTATGGGTGAAGATACTCTTTTCTTTCAATAGTTCCATAGATTTCATTGACAAATAAATGTAGTTCATTTTTTACTTCTTCAGTAAATTCAGTAAATCCAATTAAAACTGAATTTCCTTGTAATCCTTCTCTTAATAACTCAGTAGATAAAATAGTGGTTAATCCTAATGTTTTTAATAATGGTACATAATATGCAGCAACACTAATACTATTATATTTTTCTTCAAACAACGCTTGACGTTGTTCAAATTGAATAATAAAATCTCTCACTGACAATTTCTCAATAATCAATCGTTGGGATTCAGTTGATAATGGCAAATTGTATTGTAATACTTCTTTCCAAATACGTGCAATTGCATTGATAAAGAATAATTTGTGTGATCTCCTTCCTTGAGTAACAACATATTTCTTGTGCATGTCAGCAATAAACACATACACCCTCCACAATAGTCTTGATTCAAAATTATCTGACATTACTAATGATGTAAAGTATAAATAATGAAGATGTACCTTAGTTGCTACTTGTTGTACTGATCGTTTTTGAGCTTCATTCATACCAGAGTCATACATTAATAATAATCCATTTAATATTTTTTCATCATCATTTCTATGAACAACATTGAGAATAGAATGAAATACAACTTCATTATACATTTTACAAGATACTAAATTTCTTCCTTCTGGTTTAATACAATTTTCAGAAAATTCTTTAACTATCATTCCTAATATTTCTGTTGGAATCTCATTTAGAGTACATAACAATAATACTAATGATGGGTCAGATGCAATATCCATTGTATTCCCTTTATCAAAATTCATTAAAAATATAGTACGAAGAAATGAAGATATGATTTTAATTGTAGAATAAGTATATTTATATACTCTTCTGACAGATCTGAGTGAATTAAATAATCTAACAAATCCACCAAGTCTAATAAATTTACTATAAATTGGTTGAATAGATAAAATCAAACACATATATTTCAATACATCATTAATATATTGCTTTTTTACATTAGCAACTAATTCCAATATAACTCCTATTGGTAGTATGCTTGATGAAGTAGTTAAAAATTCACAGACCTGATCCTTATCTTCAATACTCAATGCACGAGTTAATAATATTTGTAATACTAATACTAATGATTCAATGTTTGGAGTATCCATACCTTCTGTATCTGATGAATTCGATACATCAATATTATTTATAAGATTTCTAATTGTTACATTTCCTGTTGTTAAATTCACTGATTCCCCTTGACTTGTATTATCATTAAATACTGTACATCGTATAATTTGTTCTGTTGAATAATTACTTTGAACAACCATAGCTATTTGATGTAAATAACTTCTCCATGATGATAACTGAAGTAATCCTGACATAACAGCAATGAAAGGAGACCTAATGTTTTTATTTTGAACTGACCTATCAATAAATTGTAAAAATCTTTCAAAAACTCTACACTCTTCTAACATTCCAATAGTTGATTGTACATGAGGTGATTTTAAACTTAGTGCAACCTTTTCTAAATATATTCTAATGACATCATCATTTCCTTTCTTCCAAAAATCAACATTTAATACAATTTTATCAACAAGTAATGGAGATGTAAATACTTCTTTCTGGTGGTCAGTAGAAAATTCTAATAAAGTTTCAACTAATCCAATTTCGTTAAATAATGTTGTTCTTGCATTTAATATATCAAACATAATTTTTAGTCCTCCAACTTTACAGAAATTGTAAGAAGCTTTCCCATTCTTTGAAAGGTATTTAGTTAAAATGTTTAATGCTGCTAATATACTTTCATTATCTTTCATTTCTGCCATCAGTATTAACAATACATCATATCCTCCAAGTAATTCTATCATCTTTTTTCCATGAATACATCTTCCAATGTCTTGTTGTTTTGAATTTATCAAGGGTTGTGTCCAAGGTATGTTTATTGGAATTGTTTCTTTTTGAGTGATTACCTGTTTTGTTCTTACATTTACCATAAAAGAGAATGGAATAGTATGACACTCTTTTGGAGTTCTAATATCAATTGGACATAACCAATTTTCATTACTAGGAACAAGATCTGGATTTTCACAATATACTAATCTCTGGACAGCAGCATCTTCAAGAATAGTTCTATATATTAAGATATTACCAATTCGTAAACGAACTTGTTCTGTACTTTGCACAACCATTTCAGTATTGTTTTCAAAGGTGGCAACTCCAACAACTGATCCAAGGAAAATACCATCTACATATATTTCTATTTTACATTCATTACTTTTTTCTGTTTGATGTAATGTCATAACAATAGAGTGAAACATTTTTTCTCTTATAGGAAATTGTAGTAATTCTCTTGAATTTTTGAAATAAATTGTAACACCTACAGGAGTAGCATGTACTCCTAATGTGTAATGTGGAGAAGCAAAAGAGAATAAAGAAACAGAAGGTGTTTGATATTCTGGGAAAGAATGAATATAAAACCATGTACATATAGTAAATGGTTTTAAAGAATAAAATGGAAGTTTAAATGAAATTTTATTTACT